TTTAAACTTTGCCACGTGACATTACCTTGTTGGACAGTTTAAATTTCAAATAGTTTTCCCATCCAATTGACACTTGACAACAATGCAAGTGTCAAACAACGTGTTAAAAATTAGTGCACAAATTGCAGAGTTCACTCGTTAAGAACCTTGCTACACGTACACAATGGTGTACACTTTAATTTGCACTTTTCCACGTGACATAACCCAGTTCGAGAGTTTAAATTTCAAATAGTTTTCCTATCCAATTGACACTTGGAAACAATGCAAGTGTCAAACAACTTGTCAAAAATTAGTGTACAAATAGCAAAGTTCAATCGGTAAGAACCTTGAGACATGTGCACTATGGTGTACACTTTAGTTTAAACTTTTCCACCTGACATTACCCTATTGGACAATTTAATTTCAAATAGTTTTCCCATCTTATTGACACTAGATAACAATGCAAGTGTCAAACAATGTGTTAAAAATCAATGAACAAATAGTAATTTTCAATGGATAAGGACCCTGCTGCATGTACACTATGGTGTACACTTTAGTTTACACATTACCACGTGACACTACCCTGTTGGACAGTTTAAATTTCAAACAATTTTTCCATCCAATTGACACCTTACAATAATGCAAGCGTCAAATAACGTGTCAAAAATCAACGTACAAATGGCAAATCTCAATCGGCAAGAACCTTTCTACATGTACACTATGGTATACACTTTAGTTTACACTTTGCCACGTGACATTACCCTGTTGGATAGTTTGCATTTCAAATAGTTTTTCCATCCAATTGACACTTGACAACAATGTAAGCGTCAAATAACGTGTCAAAAATCAGTGTACAAATAGCAAAGTTCAATCGTAAGAACCTTGCCACATGTACACTATGGTGAACACTTTAGATTACATTTTGGCACGTGAGCCCTGTTGCATATTTTAAATTTCAAACAGTTTTACCATCCAATTGACACTTGACAATAATGCAAGGGTCAAACAACGTGTCAAAATTAGTGTACAAATGGCAAAGTTCAATCGGTAAGAACTTTGCTACACTTAGACTATGGAGCACGCTTTTGTTTACACTTTGCCACATAACATCACCTTGTTTGACATTTTAAATTTTAAACAGTTTTCCCATCCAATTGACACTTGGCAACAATGCAAGTGTTAAAAATCAGTGTACAGATCGTGAAATTCAATCGGTAAGAACCTTGCGACATGTACACAATGGCATACGTTTTAGTTTACACTTTGCCACATGACAGTACCCGATTGGACGGTTTAAATTTAAAATAGTTTTCTCATCCAATGGACACTTGACAACAATTTAAGTGTCAAACGTGTCAAAATTTGGGGTTCAAATAGGAAATTTCAATCGGTAAGAACCTTGCGACATGTACACTATGGTGTACACTTTAGTTTAAACTTTGCCACATGACTTTACCCTATTGGACTGTTTAAATTTCAAACAATTTTCCCATCTCATTGACATTTGACAGCAATGCAAGTGTCGAATGATGTGTCTATTGTCGATTTTATCCCGCAAGTGAACGGATCGTAACAAGTAGTAAGGTGGACCTTTTGAGTCCAGATTATCATTCCCACAAGGACTGTACTTTTAATGCCCAATTTATTATTTCTAACTTCTATTTGACGAAAATAAACAAAAACAATGATTAAATGTGATTTTTATTCTAAACACTTAAAAATGTGATTGGATGCAATGAAAAGTGATTGAGAATTCAAACAATAAATGGACGTTAGGGTGCAACAATTTCACCTATTGGTCACCTTTACTTCATAAATCAAGATTCATAAAACCTAAGGTAGTGTTCGGTCGAATTCTTTTATTGTATTCAACTTACCCCTCTCAAGTTCTCATTGAGCCTATTTAATTAGTTTAATTCCATATCTCTATGCAAGTTAAATTTAATTAAACGAAACATTGGTTCTAAGAATTCACACAGGACCGCAGCAATCAATATAGGTATCTTTACACGTTATATCAATTTATCGGATTTTAACATGTGGTCTAAACAAATAATCCGCATCTCTACACAATCATTGTTCACAAATCATCTAATTAGTGATCAAGTAATTAAATGTATTAAGAACAACATTAAAATCAACACATAAAATATAAAAGCACTAGAATCTCAATTGCATGAAATAAAGGATTCCAAAAGATTACATTGTTCGCCCTAAAATCAAATTTAACTACTCATAATAATGGAAGAAAAATTGGAAATTGTTCTAGAATACATCACCGGATTTGTAATATAGATGTAGAAGAAAAAGTGGAATTCTTGCACCAAGATCTCCTTCCTCTTCCAATGAATGCTTCCAATCTTCAATTCTTAGTGTTAATCTTCTTGAATTTCTCCTTTGAATCTCCCTTCTTGTTGTTTTCTCTCCAATATGTCAAGAACCCTTTAAAAGTATGAGGAAGATGTATTTATAGGTGCCCCTCCATTTTATGTAGAAGTAGGCTTTTTATGGATTTAAAAACGGCCCAAAAAAAGCGCCCTAGATCGTCAATCGCAGCGCCTGGGCGCTATGTCTTCACCGCATGGTTGTGGCGCCTAGGCGCTGCCTCTCGGGTCCAAATTTCATCTTTTTTTCATTTCATAGCACCTAAGCGCCGCCTTTCTGCCCCAATTCCATGTTTTTGGCCTCTTCGTCCACTTTAATATTTCTTTTCATATCACTTCTCCTTATCTTCAAAACAACACTAATAAACACATCAAAAATGTTCTATACTCATAAAATCTAGCATTTAATCAAGCTAAAATTGTGTGAAAATCATGAGTGAAACAAACTCATCAAATAACCCCAAACTTAACCATTTCCTAGTCCTCGAGCAAACACTAAAACCCATAAAAATAATTAATGGACACACAAGCACAACCAAGACAAACAAAATCACTTAAAATAAAATTTCGCTAGATAGTTTGCCTTCATGTCTTAGAATTAAAAACATAACTTCGATTCCATGAACCACTTCAAAGCTATAATGTAAAAGTTAAATTCTCACTTATTCAATGCAAAATGGGTGTGTGTGTGGAGAGTCAAGTGCAACGCTGTACAATGATAAGTTGACCTAATTCCTAACCTTGGAAGTCAAAATTTTCCTTACTTTGCTCGTGGGATTCACACACCTCCAAACTTATTTTCTTTTCTCTTTCCAAGGGTGTAACCTAAGGTTAAATTTTCAATACTAATTTCTTACACCACTCAAGTTTGGTTAGATTTTACTGATTGTAGTTCCACATGTCAACAAATGAGGATTCTCCTTATTTTTGACTGCTTCAACCTCTAGGAATCAACCAAGTTACTTACCCTTTTTCAAAGGTCTAATCCTCTAAAACAAGTGTTCGGGGCTTAATCAAGGCATTTGATATCTATTATTTTTTTCTCTTTTTTTTAATTAATTTTTTTTTCATATATATCTTTATTCTTTAATCACTCTTTGTGCGGACGTCTCTTCCTTAAGCTTTCTAAATGACCCCTGTGGCGAGCTTTAGGCCGATGACTCCCAAATCAGATGACTTTAGGGCACCAGGTTTTAAACCCTTACAGGCTTAATCACTCGAGTCATAAAGGCTACGAAGAGACAATTCACAATGAGATTATTAAAATTGTCCTCATTGGGATCTTTTTATTTTTATTTTTATGTTATGCAGTGATTAGTGCAATGCCCATTATTAAACACCTATCCTCGAAAATTGACCTCTAACTTAAGGTTTTCACCTAATTTTCATCCCATTAGTCTCAGACAGTCCACACAAAAATTAACACACACGAAATCCACATTTATCTCCGAGTTTCCCTACAACAGTGCAATCATCCAAACGTCCAAAGTTTGGTTTAAGGGTATTGTGATATTTAATGGTTGTTTGGGTTTAGCATCTAAGTTTTCTATTTCAACCTATAAACGTGAATCAACATACTCATGCACAATGCTACAATCAACTCACGTGCAAAAAATAATTTTCGTTTCACAAGAATAAGCAAAAATCAAACTCAAACACATAACTTGTCCACAATTCATAAATCAACGCATGTTTTCAATTACACATATCAATACCGGCAAGGTTATCTAACACACACAAGCATGCAAAAACATGAAATGATTTTTTTTTTAATAAAAACACAAACACATAAAATAAGCAAATCACACATAAGCATTCGAGAAACTCAACAATGTAAGCAAATGATGTCACTCCCCCAAACTTAACTAAAACATTGTCCTCAATGTGAAATTTAAAGGAAAAGGAGGAGGAATCCCTGAAATGTCAGTATTGCCTATGATGTTGTGGTGTCTTGGTGCTGCATTTGATTAACTCTTCTTCTACATTTTCCCCCAAACTTGAGATTTATCCCATTTTCTCCATGTCCATGTTGGTTTGAGTGTTCCGCAATGTCATGTTTCTAAAAAATTAAATTTGAAAAATTAAACTCATGGAACAACGATTACTTAGCTCAAACATCTAATAACCAACTTAATTACTCCAAGACCTATGGGTAGAAGGTGTATGGGTGATGATTCCTAAATAAACTATAAATTAAACTATCTTAGAACTTTGAAAACAAAATAAACAAAATAAAAGCTTGGGTTTCTTCCCAAGAAGCGCTTCTTTTAAGTCATTAGCTTGACTTGTGCCGCTGGTTTATCATGGTGGCTCAAACCAAGTTATTCCATCATTGCACTCTGTGCAATTTTCATTGATGTAATTCTTTTTTGCTCTCCAAATTTTGATTTGTCCATTCTTATCTCTACCAAGAAGTACTCCAAAATTTGTTTTTTTATTCTGATAGCTTCGTTGATCAGGTGGCTCTTCTTCATCAATTCTATAGCAATTATTTTTATTGGGAGGTTTCTCATATTGGATGTAAATATTGAATATCTCCTGCTTGTCCTCCACCCTTAAGATTAGTTCTCCATTTTCCATGTCAATAAGAGTTTGTCCCATTGCTAAGAATGGTCAACTCAATATAATTGGAATGTCTCAATCTTCTGGTATGTCCAATACAATGAAATCAACAGGAAATATTAAATTTCCTACTTTGATTAGTACATCCTCAACTTTGCCACGTGGCCTTGTGATTGTTCTATCAGCGAGTTGTAGCGTTATTGATGTTGAATTGACTTCACCTAGTCCCAATTTCCTGTAAGCAGAATACGACATTAGATTGATACTAGCACCAGTGTCATACAATGCATTAGATGAATAGGAATTTCCAATTGAAACTGGTAAAGTAAAACTCCCTGGATCCTTCAATTTAGGAGGCAAATTTCTCTGGACTCTTGCACTACTTTCCTCAGTTAATGCCACGGTTTCAAACTCCGAAAGCTTTCTTATCTTTGTCAACATCTCTCTCAAAAATTTCTTATAGCTTGGAATTTGTAGTATCGCATCTATGAACGGAACATTGATCTGGAGCTTCTTGAGAACATCGAGGAATTTTTCATAGTTTGTGTCTTATTTGTTCTTCTTGAGCTTTTGAGGAAAGGGAATGGGAGGCATGTAAGCTTTGTTTAGACTTGGTGCTATGGCAGCTGATGTTTCTGTACCTTCTCTATTTTCAGTTGCATTTGGTGCAGATTTTTCTACCCTTGTAGCTTCATCAATCACTTCTTGGTCATCTTTTCTTTTGGGTCTCTCTGTAGTGATCTCTGGTGATTGTACCTCGCTCTTTGTATTTATGACATGAATATTTTGCTCCATCGACTTCTTTCAAAGTCTTTGGGGAAATGGAAGTGGAGGTACATATGCTTTAACTTTTACGGGGGCCCTGGGTAGATCATTCTCCACTACTTCAATTGCCATCAACTATTCCTTAGGATTTATCATCATATTGCCTGGCAATGTCCCTTGTGGACGTTCTGCAAGTTGCTGTGCTATCTGACCAATTTGTGTCTCCAGTTTTTTTATGGATGCCTACTGATTTTGAAAGTTCGTGTGAATTTGCTGGAACACCTTGTCCATCTTCTGCACATATTGTTGAAACATCTCCCCCAAACTTGGTCTTCTTTCTTGTTGGAAATTGTTACCATATGAGTTTAAATTATGGGATCTATTTTGAATAAAGTTTACTTGTTCCTCTGAAGAAGGGAGCATCATGCAGCTCTCTGTAGCGTGATTTCTCCCACAATTCTCACATGCTGAACTTACCATCATTGCATTTGCTCCATATGTTTGCAATTTTACAAGTAGCTCTACCTGTTTTGTTAAAGCTGCTATCTGTGCATTAGTAGATGTTGTGCTGTCTAATTCATACATTCCTCCTGCCTTTGGTGGTACCACTCTTTCTGATGAGAACATTGAATGTGTGGTGGCAATTAACTCAAATAGGTCCATGGTTTGTTGCACTGATTTCCCTATGATTGATCCACCAGCAGAGGCATCAACTTGAGATTTTGACAATGGTGTAAGTCCAGTGTAGAAGTACTACACTTGGTTTCCTTGAGTGATTCCATGGTTTGGACATTTTCTCATCAGCTCATTAAATCTATTCCATGCCTCGTGATAGCTTTCTCCCTCTTTCTGTTGAAAAGTTTGAATTTTCAATCTGATTTTAGCTATTCTAGCTGGTGGGAAGAATTTGTTGTAGAATTTCCTGATCAGTTCTTCCCATGTAGTAATGTTGGCATGATGCTCCGGATCTAACCATTCCAATGTAGCATCTCTCAATGTAAATGGAAATAGTCATAATTTAATAGCATCTTCGTTGACCCCCGGAGCATGGAAGTTCCGACAATTTTTGAGAAATCTAGAGATATGTGTGTTCGGATTCTCATGAGGTAGCCCGTAGAATTGTAGAGTGTTGCTCATCAAGTTAATCCAATCTGGCCTGATCTGAAAGTTATTCATCCCAAAATCTGGATACACAATACTGAAGCGCATGGGTTCTGCTATAGGTGTCAGGAACATTGATACTGGCAAATCACCTTCATTTATTTCCCTTCGCTCATGCTGTTGTTCCGGTGGTGCCACTCTTGCAGCCATTTGTCCAATCGGTTGAATAGGGATATGGATTTGTTGATTGTCAGCCATTTGATGTTTCTGTTTTTGTTTGTGTTCCTTACATCTTCGCTGAAGGTACATTCTATCTCCGAATCAAACGGTTCAAGATCATCGCCTTGGGCACGGAGCATACAACGAACACAATTTTCTGTAATTAAAAGAAAAATAAACAAATCAAATAACAGTCAAAATAAAAAAAATAAATTAAGGCTAAAAGAAACAGTCCCCATAATGGTACCAAAAACTTGTTGTCGATTTTATCCCGCAAGTGAACGGATCGTAACAAGTAGTAAAGTGGACCTTTTGAGTCCGGATTATCGTTCCCACGAGGACTGTACTTTTAATGCCCCATTTATTATTTCTAACTTCTATTTGACGAGAAAACAATGATTAAATGTGATTTTTATTCTAAACACTTAAAAATGTGATTGGATGCAACGAAAAGTGATTGAGAATTCAAATAATAAATGAATGTTAGGGCGGAACAATTTCACCCATTGGTCACCTTTACTTCATAAATCAAGATTCATAAAACCTAAGGTAGTGTTCGGTCGAATTCTTTTATTGTATTCAACTTACCCCTCTCGAGTTCTCATTGAGTCTATTTAATTAGTTTAATTCCATATCTCTATGCAAATTAAATTTAATTAAATGAAACATTGGTTCTAAGAATTCACACACGACCATAGCAATCAATATAGGTATCTCTACACGTTATATCAATTTACCGGATTTTAACATGTGGTCTAAACAAATAATCCGCATCTCTACGCAATCATTGTTCACAAATCATCTAATTAGTGATCAAGTAATTATATGTATTAATAACAACATTAAAATCAACACATAAAATATAAAAGCACTAGAATCTCAATTGCATGAAATAAAGGATTCCAAAAGATTACATTGTTCGCCCTAAAATCAAATTTAACTACTCATAATAATGGAAGAAAAATAGGAAGTTGTCTTAGAATACATCACCGGATTTGTAATATAGATGTAGAAGAAAAAGTTGAATTCTTGCACCAAGATCTCCTTCCTCTTCCAATGAATGCTTCCAATCTTCAATTCTTAGTGTTAATCTTCTTGAATTTCTCCTTTGAATCTCCCTTCTTGTTGTTTTCTCTCCAATATGTCAAGAACCCTTCAAAAGTATGAGGAAGATGTATTTAAATAAGGTTTCCTATCCAATTGACACTTTACAACAATGCAAGTGTCTAACAACGTGTCAAAAATCAGAGTACAATTAGCAAAGTTCAATCGATAAGAACCTTGTGACATGTACAGTATGTTGTACACTTTACTTTACAGTTTACCAAGTGACATTACCCAGTTGGACAGTTTAAAATTCATACAGTTTTTCCATCTGATTGAGACTTGGTAACAATATAAATGTCAAACATCGTGTAAAAAATCAATGTAGAAATAGCAATGTTTAGTCGATAAGGACCGTGCTACATGTTCACTATAGTTAACACTCTAGTTTACACTTTGCCACATGACATTACCCTACTGGACAGTTTAAATTTCAAATAGTTTTCGCATGGAATTGACACTTGACAACAATTCAAGTGTCAAACAACGTGTCAAAAATTAGTGTACAAATAACAAAGTTCAATCGGTAAGAAGCTTGCTACATGTACACTATTGTGTACACTTTAGTTTACCCTTTGCCATGTAACATTACCCCGTTGGACAGTTTACATTTCAAACAGTTTTCCCAGCCAATTGAAACTTGACAACAATGCATGTCTCAAACAATGTGACAAAAATCAGTGTACAATTGCAAAGTTTAATTGGTAAGAACCTTGAGACACGTACACTGTAGTGTACACTTTAGTTTACACTTTGTCATGTGACATTACCCTATTGGACATTTTAAATTTCAAACAGTTTTTTCATCGAATTAACACTTAACAACAATGCAAGTGTCAAGCAACGTGTCAAAAATTAGTGTACAAACAACAAAATTTAATTGGTAAGGACCATGCTACATGTACACTATGGTGTACATTTTAGTTTACATTTTGCCACGTTACATTACACTATTGAACTATTTAAATTTCAAACAGTTTTCCCATCCAATTGACACTAGACAACAATGCATGTGCCAAACAATGTGTCAAAAATAAGTGCACAAACAGCGAAGTTCAATCGGTAAGAACCTTGCTAAATGTACACTATGGTGTACACTTTAGTTTATAATTTGCCACGTGACATTATCCTATTGGACAGTTTGAATTTCAAATAATTTTCCCATCTAATTTACACTTGACAACAATGCAAGTGTCAAACGAAGTGTCAAAAATCAGTATACAAAGAGCAAAGTTCAACCCGTAAGAACCTTTTTACACGTACACTATGGTGCACACTTTAGTTTGTACTTTCCCACTCGACATTACCCTTTTAGACAGTTTAAATTTCAAACAATTTTTCCATCCAATTGACACTTGACAGCAATGTAAGTGTCAAACAATGTGTCCAAAATCTGTATATAAATAGTAAAGTTTAATTGGCAAGAACCTAGCTACATATACACTATGGTGAACACTTTAGCTTACACTTTACCATGTGACATTGCCCTATCGGAAAATTTAAATTTCAGACAGTTTTTTCACCCAATTGACACTAGACAGTGCAAGTGTCAAACAACGTGTCAAAAATCAATGTACAAATAGCAATGTTAAATCGATAAGGACCCTACTGCATGTACACTATGGTATACACTTTAGTTTACACATTTCCATGTGACACTACCCTATTGGACAGTTTAAATTTCAAACTATTTTCCCAACCAATTGACACTTGACAACAATGCAAGTGTCAAACGTGTCAAAAAATCAGTGTACAAGTAGCAAAGTTCAATCGCTAAGAACCTTGCTCCATGTACACTATGGTGTACACTTTAGTTTACACTTTGCCATGTAACATTACCCCGTTGGACAGTTTAAATTTCAAATTTTTTTTTCCATCCAATTGGCACTTGACAACAATGCAAGTGTCTAACTACGTGTCTAAATTCAGTGTACAAATAGCAAAGTTCAATCAGTAGGGATCGTTCTACATGTACACTATGGTGCACACTTTAGTTTATACTTTGCCACGTGACATTACCCTACTGGACTGTATAAATTTCAAAATGTTTTTCCATCCAATTGACACTCGACAACAATGCAAGTGTTAAATAACGTGTTAAAAATCAGAGTACGAATAGCAAAGCTCAATAGGTAAGAACCTTGCGACATGTACACTATGGTGTATACTTTAGTTTAAACTTTCCCACGTGACATTATCATGTTGGACAGTTTAAATTTCAAATAGTTTTTTCATCCAATTGACACTTGACAACAATGTAAGTGTCAAACAACGTGTCAAAAATCAGTATACAAATAGCAAAGTTCTATCTGTAAGAACCTTGTGACATGTACACTATGGTGGACACTTTAGTTTTCACTTTGCCACGTAAACCATGTTGGATAGTTTAAATTTCAAACCATTTTCTCTTCCAATTGACACTTGATAACAATGCAAGTGTCAAACAATATATCAAAAATAAGTGTACAAATAGGAAAGTTCAATCGATAAGAACCTTGCGACATGTATACTATGGTGTATAGTTTAGTTTACACTTGGCCACATGACATTACCCCGTTGGACGGTTTAAATTTAAAACAGTTTTCCCATCCAATTGACACTTGACC